ACTAATTTTTTTCATCTTTAGGGATGATACGGCCACTCAAAATTCAACCTACCCCATCCCCTCCCCCATATCAACAAATATGCAGCAGTCTCATGCACAAAGACCCCTAACAATATGCTGCGGACCCTCTTCAGTTGACAGCCATGAGGTAGATATATGTGATGGGTAGTAGCACATTTACAATTACAGGCAGCTGAACAAAAAAGGAGAAAATGTTGTCTCTAAAACAAGATGTTCAATTCGGTGTACAATTGTTGAACACTGACAAATCTTAACAAAATGTGCAAAGGGGTTTTCAATAGAAGCAAAACAAGAAAGATAGTATCCACAAAAAAAAAAATGTTCATCCTGTAAATTTCCATCCATTTCAAATGTATAACATGAAGAAAACTGAGAAAAAAATTCCAACCAAATGAGCAAAATGGCTTCTCATTGAAAGGCCAAAGAAAAAATATCACTCGAAAACAATTTTTCTTCTACAATTTTCCATCCACAGCGCATTTCAACAAGACAAAAAAAAATTTAAAGAAAAAAATGCTAAGCTTTGAACAAAAGTGCTTTCAATTTTTAGACACTCCACATTCCTGTCTGATCCACTTTGCAAGCAGCTTATTCTTTCAAGTCATCTTCTCTTCCACCATCTGCTTCAAACATAAATGGGCAACACAAATGAATACCAGGTATTTGCTTTGATGACATGTATCGCCATGGCAATTACATCAATTCCTCCATTTTAAAACACTACCGACCCACTTAATTCTCTCTCTACTTGCCTCCGTTTGCAAAGGATGGTCAAGTCTGAGACGTTATATATGCTGCCATATTCTGTAGGCTTTTGAAAAAGTAATTCTTGCATTCAATAAAAGTAATTATCTACATGTAATATGTATCCAATGCTACATGTATACATGTACATGTTAGATATATTCTTTACATCTTCAAAAGGCACTAATGTTAGAATTGCTGTACTTCAATTGTCATTCAAGAGTTTGTTGTTATTTTTTTAATTATTTTTTGGTAAGTAAACTTTCATTTTTCTATATATTTCCAGAAATTATTAATCTCACAATGACATTCTAAAAACAAATAAACTAAAATTTAATGTCAAAATGTGGAATACTACATGAACCATGCATCACTTATATTTCAACCAGAAAAATTAATGTAATAATCAAACAATAACACCATCACAACGGCGCAAAAGCTTTTGACATACATCGCATCACCATCATGCCTGCACTCTTTGAGCAAACATTCATCCATTAATGTCAATTTCCCCTGTGAATTTGTCCAAATGAGACAATTCCATACGCAAACAGACTTGCTAGCACTTGGCCAACAGCTAACGTGATGCATGTACATGCCTATGTATTTCACAGTAAATGTAAAGGAGCAGGCATCTTCATATTAAACACCTTGCTTTTAATCACCACAGAGGTGTACAAATGGGATATGTAAACATGGACTTCTCGTTCATCAACGATCTTTCATCATTTCCAAATCCATACAGGAATTTCCCTCTTGCCTATAATTATGTAAACTGATCGTTAATTTTTTGCCTTGTCTAGCTTTTTCCTTTTTTGCAGGATGTTTTTCACAACCTCCTGATCTTTGCTGATATATTTGTAAACAGTTCTTGTTACATCTGTTTTAATAGAGGAATTGTGTATTAATTCATCTATTTTTATTAATTGGGCTTGGCTTTTAAATATGGAGAAGATCAACAAAGTAGGTATGGGGCTATTTCGGAAACGATTGGTTTTGCACAAATTGTCGATATTTAGATGCATGGCGTAAGGAGATGGCCCCTACATTAAATTGATTTGTCATAAGTATTTGCTATCTGTATTAACTTTGCTCGCAATGAATTCTCTTAGTTACAGTGTACATGTCTTTAGTTTAAGTTGCACATGTAGTGGTTGTACTTTTTTTTATGGAGGAATTATTAGCAAAATGAAGGGAATATTATGATGATATATTCTCCATCTTTTTGCCTTCACTATTTCATTCACTTTAAAAATTGGTATTTATAAAAGTAATGCTGGTTAGAATTGCCTTATCTACATGTACTCACAATGTTATTTTATTTTCTATTAATCATCTCATAAAAGGAATATTATGATGATAAATTCTCCATATTTTTCGCCTTCACTCTAAAAATGTGTCTTTATTAATGAAATACTGGACTGGAATTGCCTTATCAACTCAAAAATGCATTTCTTTGCAAATGAAATAAAAACAAGTTGAGCACCAAAAAGATGATATCCTCTTCTGAGAAACATAATAGTGTTATCTCTGTGCATACCAGTAATTTCAAAGCACGGTAAATGCCCTTCTGTTACCCGGGAGATAATATACATAATACATGTACGTGCAAATGTGTACACATACATGTAAATGTACACAGTGTAGATTTCAGCTACCATAAATCAAAAGAAGTTCATGCTCAATGGCAGTGATTAGTCACTACTTCAACACTGAACTTTAGTCAGGTATATTTGCAGTCTTGTTTCCCCTTTACACGTCATTCCTGAAGACACAGATTTACCTTAACCTGCAATGCCCCAACTAAGTCATCAATGTATGCAAAGCATTTTAAAAACCAGTTTTATCTCAGTTTTCAAACAAGGTTATCTTGATACTATAAAATAGGAATTCAAGGAACTTTGATGTGTCCTGTATATTTCTTAAAATGTGTGCATGTAGGAATTAAACTAGTGACCCATGTACACGTACATGTACATGTAGCTCACATGTACATGTAGGTTACCGGTACCCAGTTTATCAAGGTACACAAACATGGGTAAGGCCATGTAATTGATTCTGAGTTACTCATCTTTTATTTTTAAATCAGGAGGTTCTATGGTATTTGATACATTTCATCAATTACTGTAATATGCTCTGTTAATTCTATAATAACTGTTCGGTTTCAATATATATCTTTTTTCTATTTTTCTACGTTAAGCCCTTAAAAATTTTCATCTTTATACACCTGTACATGTAGGTGCTACCGGTATATACTGGTAATATTTTCCCCCGTATTACAAAATTTGATTTTTGTTATCTGAATCTGTTACTGAATAAAAGCCCTCTACATCCAGAATGTGACTGGGGCTAGCTACCATGTACATGTATCTCAGTCTATGCATCTGGGTCCACCTGTACTATAAATTGGGAGTGTGAATGAGGCTTACTTTCTCAGTCTATGCATCTGGGTCAACCTAACTAATAAAAATTGGGAATGTGAATGGGGCCTACTATCTCAGTCTATGCATCTGGGTCAACCTAACCTATACATTGGGAGTGTGAATGGGCTTACTATCTGAGTCTATGCATCTGGTTCAACCTAAACTATAAACTGGGAGTGTGAATGGGGGCCTATGCACAAAGCAATAATGAAACAAACGGGAAAGAAGAAAGGAGAAGTTAAGAGGGACCCCTTGTGCGCCCCCTGGCCAGCAGGGCCTGCTGTAATGGGTATTATTCATGTCACGCAAACTCCTCTCCGGCTCCCATGACGACTTGCATCTGAGCAATCAAAGTGGAAAGAGGTGATCTCTAAACGTGCCTAACCATCACATCCCGTCCCGCCATCTCAAAGAGCTGGCAAAAGAAGATCGTGTTGGTTTTCCCGGGATAATGCTCTCTTTATATTGCCAGACAACCAAGGAGGGGGATAATTAGAAGCGAATTTGCGTCTCAAAGAACGAGATGTTATACCATGAGGTCTTGTAAAATTGATAGCTTCATTTAAAATTGGATTAGGGTACACTGTACGTGTATGTGAGCAGAATGTTAATGAGCTTAATATACATGTACAGAGCATGAACTTTTAAAGCGCCTCTGAAGTGTTGGGAGCCCCAAAAATGTTATTTCTTCAAGGGTTTTCCAAAACAATTGTGAATCGAATATAGATGAAAGAATACACAGTTTAGGTTTTCTGCGTACAACAGAAAACCCAAATTATGTATTCTTTTATCGATATTTGTCTCCAAATAGATTTTGGGTGGGGGGAATCTTGGCAGAAGCGTGACTTAAATGAAATCCTTTTTCACACTATAATACAATTTAAGTGAGATTTTGCTATCTATTAAATTTTTTGCGAATTTGGGCCTCCCAACACTTTAGAGAGGCTTCAAGGTATAATTCAACATGATGTTGATAGAAATGAAAAGGAAAGCAATTAGGTACACCCAGGCCACGATGTGAAATTAAATTCCCATGTGAGACTAGTAATGTATGTGCAATGCGCAGCTGCATGTGGTAAATTGTGAAAACCATTTGTAAGAAATCATGGACAAACCATAAAAAAATACCTGGTAAGGAAAATGAGAACTGCAAATAAGTACAGATCATGTTTAAAGGGAAATTCCAGCCTTAATGGCACAAAACTCTAAAAGAAATCAGAAAGATCAGAGAAACAGGAGATTTATCCACAACTACATCACAACATACTAACCAAATTAGCCATTTGAGATTTGCATAGATGTAGTGATCTGATATTTCAAACATTCACAACTTTATTATTGGTCCAATATATTTTAAACTTTCGCCATTCTGTTTCTCTGATTTTCTGCATTCATTCTAATGAACTTTAATTACAAGGGTTGGATCGCCCTTTAATATGACATAGTAAATGCTGATAGAAGGAAAATAAAACAAGCGTGGAAAAATTGAAAAATTGAAAACAGGACATGGCGGGGAAAAAACAATAAAAGGCAGGTGCTGCAGCAAAACAAAAACCATCACTGCGCTCATGCAAGCCAAGTGTATGTACATATAATTACAAAGCCCTGTAAAGGAAACCTTGATGAGGCTACCCTGGGTAAATAAGAGATTAATAGTACCATTAGTATATAGTATGTATGTAGTAATTAGAGAACAATCTCTAGTATCATCATATTCAACAAATAAATGAAGTCAGTCAAGTCACTAAAGATTGGAAAGAAATTCCCCATATTGTAAGTCTGAAACCAAATAAAACAGGAGTAAATATTTACCCTTCTGGTATCGATGCGATAATATCCATCAACTTCTGGAGTTTCAGTTGAAAGTGGAGTACTGGTAGAATTACTAGACGCTGTCGAATTGACCGAAGCATCCTTTGTTAGTTCTCGTATAATGCTTGCCCTCGCAGCGGGCTTTGGTTTATTATTATCCTCAAGAAGGTCTTTTCCTATTAGCACACTTAGCAGACTGGGCCTGTCTGACTGTTTGGCAGAGAGGGCACCCTTTGCACTCCCTGTACCCTGTTTTGTCCTTCCTTCATACGCATAACGATCTTGGTTCACACCTATCCTCAGACTGCCAGGAAGGACATCGTCATCGTCTTGTACCCTGTCTTTAAACTTTTCGGAGAGATCACCTTCTTTGGAGGAGCCGTTGCCGGCCATGCTCCCGTTTAAAATGCCGGTAAGGTGCGACAAGTGTTTTAAGCTAATCTCCGTCTCCTGACGAATCTTCTGCATGTTCCTCTCAATGGCAGCCAAGAGCATTGAGCTATTATACGAGTTGTACTTATCCTCGCCCAAGAGGTCCCCCACTTCATCCCCGACCAGCTCCTGCAAGACGCCGGCCAGCGATTCATTACGAGTTCTACTCTTCCCATTTTCCCTCCACAAATCCTCGTTGAGCGTCTCCGACAGAAGCCGCCCGTTTGAGATATTCCTTATAAGCACCAGAGTTGACAACGAACTACTATTGCCTGTTCTACGTAGTAAACTCTCCTTGAGCGCATCTAATCTGCTAGTTCTTTGCGGATGCGTTCTTGACGCGTACCGGTACCTGAATTCCCCTGTATCCGGGTCAAAGGGCAGCCACACACTTGAATTTTCCCACCTGTTCGTAACGTTACGCCTGTAGATGTTTTCCGGGAGCCGGGTAGGTAAAGAGTCTCTCACAAGAGGCACGTCGCTGGGCACGAAGAAGAGAGAGTTGTAGACGCGTAATAAATTAGATTCCTCTTTCCAGCGTGTGTGTGAGAATGTGAATATCGCTATTACCATGACGATGGCATACCAAGCCAGCAGTATGACCAGCTTCCTGGTGGTCTAGAAATAAAACAAACAAAATAATTAGTAACGAGATGCATTATATTGGATAATGTCCAAGATCAATACTGTGCTGTTTCAGTCTATGTACAGTCTTACATTAAGGCCTAAAAAAAGATGTTGTATTGCTCTTTGCGATCAACCAAAAATCTTGAAATCTATGATCAGCTTTTAAAAAAAAAAATTTAAATTATTACCTTTTTTTCGGAGAGAAAAAATATATTAAAGCATTCAAAGCTGAAAAATATCAGCCCAAAGAGGGAGTAAAAAAATATTTTAAAAAGTTATAAAAAAAAAAGGTTTCCGACCAAACGACCCATGTTATGGCACCTAAAGGGCAATACAACATCTTTTTTTATTCAGGACTAATATACACCTACATGTACATGTTTATTCCCGGTTAAATATCAAATGGAAAAACAGGTGCAGCCCCAGAACAAAGGATTTTTTTTTTCATGTTCCATCACCCCCCCCCCCCCCCCCCCCTCAATAGAAGCTTCCTCTTTTATAAATAAATATAACATCAGAAGATAACAAGAAAATATTTTTTAAAGAAACTAAAACAGTGGGAATGCCTACAAAACTCGATTCTTATTTCCAAGTATGAATAATAAAATCAAGCCTCTTAAAGGTAATACAAAGTTTTGGTATGGGCTCATGAATTTGGTTCAAATGAACATTATGGAAGCAAATGCGATTCTACAATATTAAAGGTACTATGTCCCATTTGCAGGACAAACAAATGAAAAAGTTAAATTCCAACTGCATTTGAAAAATAATACTTATTTAGAACTTCCCTAAAAAAGGTGGGGCTTGAAAATGTCTTCAAGTGGGAAAATAATGACTATTAGTTGTCAAATCGACTTTAGAGCTATAGAACCCAAAAGTAATAGTCTTGATTTTCAGACAATTGTACCGAATGGTCATACGTTTTATGCTGCGCAAAGATTCAATCAGTTTAATCTTGGCCATCACAAGAAGTGGGTTATTGATGTAGACAAATGCTCATGAACCCTTTACAACTCTTTTCATGTATGTTATTACCAAAGAAGAAAAAAGGCCAGTCAGTCACTCAATAGTGTCTGACAGTGAAGTCTAGCAAGTAAACGGGTTTCCTTGCATAATTTGAATATGAGGACACTACTAACGTTTAAATTTCACAGATAGGACATACATGACATATTCATAATTCCTGCAAAGTTCTACAGAATTTGAGGTTGGCTGCAAAAGGGACATAGTACCTTTCAGTGAAAGTTTTGAAATTGTAAATAATAAACTCTTTATGTTGTATAGCTCCCTCTCAAGGTCAAGATATTAATTAAGCTATAAAAAAATGTTTCTTGACTAAAATCGAACGATTAGCTCTTCCCGTTTACATATTCTGAGATGTTCATGGTCGCAGCTACCATTGTACGGCCGTACCGTATAGGCGCTATTTGCGATTTATCAAAATTTACCGGGAGCACCGGGAGGTAAATTTTTATATTCAATTTTTCTCGAGAGCAGAAATGTTTTAAGGGCTAATTTTTCTAGTGCTTATAGTACATCCACAGGGGCATCCAAATATATCAAAATGGTAAAGAATCACTATCCACCCAATTTCAAAATTTCCCAAAACTTTGTATTACCTTTAGGGAAGAATGATTTCATATTTTCTCATCGCCCAATTTGGCGACACAATGATTTCATTTCAGAACTAAATCTTACAATGTTGGAAAGATTTCAACCCACATGACTAAGAATGTATTGTCTCCATTGTTTTATGTTGGTATTTTTTCATGAAATTATGCCAGCAAACAAACAATATCATTAAACTATAGTTAACAAAACAAAACACTAGGTCAAACTGTAAATTTAATTTCCTGATTTGCTAGTCAACACCTTCAAATTAAGAAAATGCTATTGTTAACAATACAAGGTAAGAATTCAATCAACATTGAACGCTTGAATACTAATGATATCAATGGCAAGGCATAAATGTGTTGTTTTCTTTTGGCACCTAGACGGAACAACAATGTATGTTTCCTTTATAAAAAAAAACTGATGTGTTCCTAGGCCCCAAGCTCGTATTTTACCCCCTCCCCCAATCACCGCCAAGATTGATATCCATTTTGGCTCATTTCCAAATGCATGGCATGATATGCTTTCTTAGACTCTGAAAGGTCTACGCCACCCATGCACATATAAAATATGTGTGTTCACCTCAGGTTTCTTAATCAATTGTCTGGAAGGAGAGAAGAAATGATTAAATCAGTTGGGAGTCTAGGGGGATTGAGAAAGGGAATGCCATGGGGAAGTGGATTGAGGGAGCGAGGGACTGAGTAGGGGAGCTGGAAGTGGGGATATGGGGGTGGGAAGGCAGGGGCAGGGAAGGTACATGTAGGTAAGGAGACAGGGATGGGGGAGGTACATGTAGGTTGGGAGAAGGGGCTCAGTTGTGGGAGGGGTAGGTCGGGAGAAGAGGGTGGGGACTGAGAGTGGGGGAGTGTGGATTGAGGGAATGAGGGACTGAGTAGGGAAGTTGGAGGTAGGGATACAGGGGTGGAGAGACAAGGGTTGGGGAGGTAGGTCGGGGGAAGGGGCTCAGTTGTGGGAGGGGTACATGTAGGTCGGGAGAGGAGGGTGAGGACTGGGAGTGGGGGAGTTGGGTATTTATTTTGTATTTGTACGTATAAAAAATGAACATTAGGCCATTTAAAAAAATATACATGTTTAGCGTCCCCGCCCGCTTCCTTTTTGGGGCCGCCTCCTATTTTTTTTTTTTTTTTTTGAAAGAAAAAAAAACATGAAAAACACTGCTAAAATGGCTCTATTTCTGATTTAAAAAAAAAAAAAAAAAAATCGTCGGCGGCCATCTTGAAAAAAAATAGCCTCGACTGTCAGGGAAAATGTAACGAGCGGCCATTTTGAGCGGCCATTTTGAGCGGCCATTTTGAAATAAAAAATAAAAAGGGCCTCCTCCTTCCTATTTTTCAAAAAAACAGGACGCTTAACATTTTTTATTTTTTTATTTGGCCTTAGCGTAGCTAGCCATGTACACTGTATGTACATGTACGTATACTACTTTCATCTGTATGTACATTTAAGTTAGTGAGAAAGGGATAACAAAAAATCTTTTTCAGAGCTTAATCATTTGAGATGATTACATAATTAAGATGCACAATTTTGTATGATACAATGAACTCTCAAAAGTATCCATGTAACTGAATTTAAATATTGGTACCTGTACTTCTTTGTGAAATTGAAGACTGTACACCATACGTTCTAAACACAGTGATTGATATAAAGCAAGTGCGTGGGCATGTTCATGTGTAAGCTACGTAGGAAGGCCTGAGGTCTAATCAATTACTTTACTACGTGACAAATTTTGAATTAAATGCTCGACTCCCGGACAGAGTATACACCCAGCTATATAGCTTCAAGGCAGAATGTCTTTGTGCCCCTTATTAATATAATGATTGCACCCCAGTACATGTTCATGTAAAGTTATTAAACAACTAAATTATTCATATCCCTTGTGAATTTGATGAAGGGGGGCTGGGTTTTTTGCTTTTAGAATTAATTTGTAATATGTTCTGTTCTGAAGAAACTTAAATTGAGACAAATCAATTGTTCACATACTTACCAAAATTACAAAAATTTGTAAGGGTATGACATTTTTTATGAATAATTTAGTGGTTAACTGTACGTACATGTCTATGTTTCGAACAGTCATGCTTGTACAACAGTTAGTTCTGTAACAAACATGTATAGTCTATTTGGAGTCATAAGGGCACTACTGCTATGCTTTAACACTGATTTAATGACCCTGCGGCTTAAATAGATAATGTAATCATCTTAAGAGGCTTCATTTATAGTAAACAAAGATAGACTTTGCACAGCTCAATTGTCAATGACTTCAAGGTAAGATCATAACATCTCAGGGTTTTTAATGACTCATTCAATGAAGTCTACCATGTACTTCTTCTACTACTACTTCTACTACTGCTACTTCTACTACTACTTCTACTACTACTACTACTGATACTACTGCTACTTATACTACTATTATTTATACTACTTCTACTGCTACTTCTACTACTACTACTACTACTACTTATACTACTTCTACTGCTACTTCTACTACCAGTACTACTCAAATCACAAATTTGTTAAGGTAATACTACAGATTTGCTGAAGTTTTCCCCCTAAATTTTCTATGAAAGTGTAATGAAAAATCATGCAATAGTTCTTGGAAGATTTTAAATGTACACACTACAAATTCTAGCAACTTTGTAACATTTGGAACTCTATATTTTTAGAAAATATTAACTGAAAATTAACCTTCAGCTCAGTGCCTCATGATTAAATTTGTAGGTCTCTTGCAGATTTGTAAGAATAAAGGTTGCCTACAGTACAGAGACGGTAGTTGTTGCTACACTGGACAAGTATATGGACAATTTTTGGAACATAATATTTCATAATCTTTGTAAAATTCCCAATCTAGTAACAGGGGAGAAAATCATTTGAATTATTAAGAACAAGAAGTTACCAGGAAGCCTGAGAAAAATGGCAGCCTCATGTTGAGTTGGACGGTTTTGTATAGCGCCCTCAGCGCTCCTTCCTCCTCCGACGCTAAGTTATGCTAGAGCTGTATAGCTAGGCAGTCTACACGACTGAGTTGTTTCTTAAATGCCTCATTGAGTTGAGTTGAGTTGTTACGGTTGAGTTGAGTTGTAACAGTTGAGTTGCGGGCATGGTGAAATACTGTCTGTAGCAAAAAAGAAGAAAAGAGAGACATGAAAATAAATGTATATGTTAGCAGGGACACAGATATAAATGTAGAATTACATAGCTGAATAAAGGAAGATCGAATTTCTAAATCAATACCAAATAATCATATACATGTATAAGATGTTACATGTACAAAATGCTTCTCTGGGTTCTCTTGATTACAGTATATTAATTGCAAACATCATTGCAGCTGAATAAGCAAGTGCACACCTGTAAAATACATTTATTTTCTTTCTGAAATGCACCCCTAGAAATCGATAGTATGCAGGATAAGCGCCGAAATGCAACTTGATCCAATGACGCAGGAATAATATGCAATTTGATCAGTTACAGTGTACTTTGACTGCAATCAAAATAGTTAGTGCTATCCACATTCTCATCAGGTAAAATCATGAAATGTCAGACACGTACGAAGAACAATTTCTAGCTGATCAAAGTATGAACAAACGTTGTATTAGTATGAACAAACGTTGTATCATATTCCAAGAAAATAAGGGTATAGACATTACTTTCAATGTACATATGTAGCGCATTCATTAAAAATACTGCTACTGCTACTACTGCTACTGCTACTGCTACTACCACCACTTAGTTATACAAGCTAGACAATGACACTTCCATGTGGAATAAAGTCCTCCTAGTCCTACTCATTTTCCTGCATAATTTTTTTTAATGATCAATAGCGTTTGGTCAACAAAAATCAACATACACCAGCTGTGCTTATAATCACATTTACAATGGCGAAAAAATATAAACATTAACATAAAACATACCATAATTAACTACCGGTACACAAGATTATCAATTCAAGCATGGATACAATATGCAAGCCAATTAGTATTCAGTATTATAATACCGGTAACTCAATAAAATAGGATGAATCATGCTTGTGACAATCATGAGGTACCCCTGAATCGATTGTCTTCTTAATTGATTGCGGTCAGCTGTGCAAGTATCCAATTTAAAAGTACATAGACATGGCCTGTCAATATAAGTACAGGCAAATAACAAAACCCTTAACGATGTAATTATTGATCTGTGGAGAGCCATCACAAAGGGTTAATAGGAAATATGTGAATCATAAAGTACAATACATCTTTACTTCATTATTAAAGCTGAAAAGAGGTAAATTATTTTTTCCTTTTAGGATAAAAAAAGAAGAAATTCTGTATTATGATACAATCTATCTCCGGGGAAAAACTGTGACAGATATGTACGCTATCCAATACAAATAATTATCACAAGAGTATAAAAGCACCTCAGTTGAAAGATAGTTGATTGATTTTTTTTTCATTTGAAATATGAAAGAGAAGAAATCCTGCAAGACCATATCGCCAAAAATACATCCTGCCTCTCTAGAAAACCTTTTCACTTTTGTGTTGAGCTTTCCTTTCATCAACACCATTTCTGCAAAAATAACCTGTCCATTTTTCCAGAAGACGGCAAGATATTCTTTCATCACTTAGCAACTATCATTGCCATTTAGGACAAGGACTTTTTACAGACCCATTTACATAGCCCAAACACTTCCTGGTCGTTATTTTCCCACAAAAAGACATAAATTTTCAAGCCCTTTCGTTTTGAGGGAAGTTCTACAATAGTATTATCTTTCAAATGCTGGTGGAATTTAACCTTTTCATTTTAATTGGCCTGCAAATAGGACATACCGTAGTAACTTTTATACACAGAGACACGTAGATCTAATGTACATACAGCAAGCACTTCCTGTTCGGGGTCAGTCCACCTTGCAAACAGCATAGCCTGATAAACTATAAAGCAGATCCATATAATCTCTACAACGAATGCTAGGCCTTAATTAATCATGGTTAAATTAAGTGATTCTCATTTGAAGAGGGGCTAGGGATCTTCGCTCTGTTTAATTGGATTAATTTTGCAAGAGGCTTTTTCACAATATTAGTAGTCAGATGAATCAAATGCAAGCTCTCTCTGACAAATCACAGATGGCAAGTAGAACATCTCAAACTTCTAAGGTACCCCAATTTTATATGACATTTGTGATTGATGTGTTATTTACCATAGTAATATACATCGTCATGAATCTCTTGCTAGTGATTATGTGTGTGTCTGTCACTCTCTCCCAAATTACATACAAGCCAGTCAGCATTTTCTCTCTCATCAATGAACATTTGCTCAGGTTCTGTGCATTCAATATATTACCTCTTTTCCGGCCAAACTTATTAGGTTTTCTTCTCCAAGTTAGCAACACTGATCTTTAATTTCATTGCTTTCTTTATCTCTCTTTTTTTATTTTTCAGACAATATACATGTATTGCCTTATGAAATATTTGTCTTTGAGAGCCTGATATTTCACTGCTGAAATCATGGTTTGCTACTGATTGTACATCAGATTACCGGTACGCAGAACTACAAAAGTGTTGAAAGGTGGCTCTATCACTTTGAATCAGGGTATATCATCGGCCGGCTGGCAGAAGGGCGTTAGCGTGAGAGCAGCTCCAAAACTGCTTTTCGAATTATTCGCATTTAAAGATTTGTTTTATATTTAAACTGCTTTCTGTCCCAAAATTGTTTTTAAACTTAAAAGGCTAACAGAAATGTTATAGTAGAACACGGCCACAATTTTTTGTTGGAAATAAGTCAGTTTTATAAAAATTTGAGGCGATTTAGTGCTAACGCCCTTCTGCTTAATGCCTCATTTTTTACCTGGAGTTCGAGATAACGCCCTTTTGCCAGCCAGGCGACAATATGGTAAGCCAAGATCTAGGCTCTTGTATATAATGACAAGAATATGCATTACAACAACGTATCAATTACCTCCTCAATAAGTTGGCAATTCAAGAATTTAATACTTCTATATGGTTTTTTGTCTTCTTTTAATTCCTGGTTTTAAATATATGGCAATGCAATCAACACAGCTTTGAAATCCATACAGCAATGCAATAAACATGGATGAAAGCAAATATGCTGCCTATTCCAGCCCATGCATCTGGTACAGACTCCAAAGGCTTAGAAATCAAGTCACATACGATGTATATGTTCAGTCAAACCACAAAACGTAAGCAATTGTAGTTTGGTTCCTGTCGGTTTCTATCAGATTTTCAAAGATAATATAACCACAATCCCTTCTCACTATCGACCACAAAGAAATCAGATGTATAGAAACCTGTACATGAACAAGATAATATCTAACAAACCTCTATATTAAATGCCTACCGGGTATTTAGGTTTAGCTCAAGTCAATTTGAATGTGATAAATAAAGTAGAAATTATCTGCTGATAACCAAATGGATGCAACATATCAGTTTACACAGAATTAAGACCCTTCTGGCTCTCAATAATAGAGTCTGATATGGCAGACTATAGTCATATATTTCTCATGCATGCAAGGACCTGGGAGACAGCATTCACTGGGATGATACAACAAAAGCATTCAGACTTGAAGCAAGGCCAGCTGATTAAAAAGAATAAACGCCTATATATAAAACAACAACAACAACAAAATATGATTTTCAGCCAGTTCGTAAAAAGCTTCGGAACGCATGACCCCAAAATTTCCACAGATCTTTTACACGATGGATAAGTCCCACATGTGCATTTTAGAATAATCACTGCCAAAGTGATGGAGGTGCTTTATGAATACCTTTTGTTTGCCTCTTGAGAAGAATACTTCCACCCGCATGTGTATCAGATAAATGTACTGTCGGTGCATAAACGAAAACTGATTACATAACTTTCATGAGCACGATACCAGTATTTTGTCTCCATGTATTTCACAATTTGGTCTGCCATGACCTTAATCTGCTCATGCTCAGACTGCAATCGTGAAGTGGCTTCTTATACATGTACGAGCTCGCTTTATGTAACTGTTATCAACCAAACTTATCCCACACCTAATAACCTTTTGAAATGGGTGTGATAGGAAATGAAAATAATCCATTACAGTATTATAGGTGTGGTTTTAGGTGACTGCATGAAACAGTAGCTTATCAAATACCACTTCATCACCATCCATTGTTTAGAGCCAAGAGGATATAAAGTCCTACTCTAACAAGGTGTTCACATCCTCTGTCTCTGAACAGATAAATCATATTACACTTTTCAATGTTTTATTACAATTGATAAGGTATCGGATAGCATATGAGTGCTTGATAAGATCATTCTGAATAGCATTATTTACAGGACCAACATTGGTAATCAGTATTTGTTTCATCCCTTCCAAAGCAACGACCTTCAGACAAAGTGGAAAGTTTGAAGTTTGAAGTTCTCAGAAAGTATATGCAGAAGAGGAAATGACATCATAATGACTGTGGATTTTGTTGATCAGAAAAACCAACAATACTTATGAATGCATCATTAGTCAGAAGATGAAGCACATATATATAGTGAAACCTGTCTATAAAGACCACCCAATGGAGACAAGAAAAGTGGTCTTTAATAATAATAATAATAATAATAATATTTAATTTTTATATAGCGTTTAATACAAATGTCTCTAAGCGCTTTACAAATAAACTATTACCCCGGTCATTGGATTCAGTGCTTGCCCGCACACACTGTGTGCACAATCTCCACTCCCTGGGGAGCATTACAGCCAGGCGTTACTTGACGCTCAAAAACTGTCTTTATGTACAGGTTTCTTTTGTACATGTTTCAATGACCATTTTCAAGGGAAACAAAAAATTGCGGTTGTTGTAAACAGGTGGTCACTACAGCAGGTTTGACTGTTTATACAAGTATCTTGGCACTGTGCAATATGATAATAATTATATTTCTTTTCTAATTTACTCAGTTGGTAGAGCAGTGGTCTCGTAATCCGTCGAACTCGGTTCGACACCAAGGCAATGCGCTAGTGCCCTTTGGTATAAAGGCATTAATCCACATTACAAAACAGCAATCAATCAGCAATTAAGACTATTTCAACAACTTCATCTCACATGATAACAATAAACATACCAATTACAGTAAAACATGATTATGATTACAACGAAACATGATAAGATTCATAAGAATATAATGATAACTCCACATATGTGTAAAAGTACACGATGGGCCTACATTATGTTACCAGATTTGAATAGAAGTCAGAAGCACACAAGAAGGCATACAAGTACATTGTACATGTTCCTACTTTGATATGTACAGATAGGATATACACCTTCATACACTCTGTCTAAGAAAAGAAACAATTGAAAAGGAAACCTTACAAGTAAATAGTACACGACTACATGTACATGTACCTGTAGTAAGCTACCGGTAATTTTCCATCTCCAAAAGATACACTGCTGTATATACTTGTAGGTGTTCACAATCCTGAGTTAATCCATGAACTACATTATATTGTGAGTGGTCAGTGGTCACCTCTTTGCCAGACATAGTCTAAGTCAAATTGTAAATAATCTCTGTTTGTTCATTCCAGTTATATCACAATAAACAAGCTACATGTACTCCTAATCTCCTACATGTAGTCCTACCTGCATGCATGTTTCTATTTGCTGTCGTCCATTATGACACAGTGGCGATATCCAACACATTCACAAGTTCACATACACCGAACATATCTAGTATACCCTGCCGATAGCGTCTTCTCCTCAGACACAACAGTGGAGAGGTCTACACATGAGCATGGGCAGAGACGGAGGGACGGACGGAGAGAAAGACGTAGAGAGCAAGTCTTGTTGTCTTCCAAGTGCGGCATCCACGTGTAATTAACACTCCTTAGAGTTGTGTATTGCCACCAACAACACACAGGAAGAGTATGATTACCATACACATAGGGGATAGAACATTCACAGGATGAGATACACTTCTTATCTCAAGAAGTCTAGCCTTGGATCAAGGCTCTACCTGGCGTCTAAAAGACAAAAAATCTTTGTATACAAATCTCTCAATAACAGAATTTATTTGCTTCTGAAGCACAATTTATCCATTAACTGCATATCAATCCCCCCGTAAAAACTTACAAGAATTTGATTAATCTTTATTCTTGTAGCTCAAAACAAACCCATTCGAGGGAGATGGTGCCTATAGTTTAAAAACAAGACTACACAATCTCTAAACATCATTAATTGGCAGTATTAACTTTAAGTAATTAATCATTTTCAAAGTAATTGAAAAAGTCACTGGTATCAAAGTAATTGTCTTATGTCCATAAAATGTCCATACAATGTTAATTTTATAACAAATATTGAATCTGTTGAAATCACATACAGAAACGGGGAAAACCAGGAATAAAAACATAAAGTAACGTTCACACATTCAACTGATGTCCACTTATAATTGCCAAGAGTTTGGGCATACGGTAACAATTTCTCATCAAAACCTTAATTCCTATTCAACCTTGTGTAGGCAATAAATATATATCACAAAACTGATTTACTAGTAGTAGTACTAGGAAGTTAGAAATTTAGCTGGTACACAAAGCTTAAGAGTATATTCAAGCATAGTACACTGAATTAGTAAATTGTACTGTACATGGATCTATGATTGATAAATATGTAGGCCCAAACATTGGCTTTTAATATAGTACTGTACATACCAGTGAAAGATAAAGAAATAAAGAAATACAACATTTTAACAAACAAACTAATGAATACATACTATAGATAAACAAATAAATGTAATAAAAAATTAATTAAATAATTAAAAAATAATTAATTAATTAATAAATAGGAGCGGAGAGCAACTAAGATCTAGAAATCTCCAAAAAAAAGTCCTGGTATGAAGAAAAAAAACTGGCAATGAATTCTTGCTGACTATATATGTATAAAAGACTACATACACCTGTACTGTCATACAACTACAAGTAAATCTAAGTCTTGAAAGAAAGCTAGGATGGCAGTTTGACACACATCTGACGCACAAGATAATTAATCCGTTGCTGCTGAGTGGCAACAAAGGTAGATTGAGTAAGGCACAGACAGAGAGAGAGAAAGAGTCTTGAGAGCTAAAGCAATGCACAAATTACTCTTCATTTCCTGTATTATTCTCTCGGTTACAGAAAATAAAACTTACTCCAACGGAAGGGAAGTCCTTAAAGAAGATTCTCAAAACCAAGTTAAATTTTCCCGCATACACATAGACATCTATATGTACTCTTGAACACTAATTAATAGGAGAGCCGGAAATAATGCATGTATCGCTTTATAAATGTGATATCATAATTAGCTCGGCTTAAAGCCTCACACTTTGAATTATATGTGCAATGTGCATTCCGGTCGAAAGTTGAATTTTTGAAAACCAGCACAAAAAACTAAAACAAATTTGTCAAAGCGCTGGCTTATCAAATCAGCAGCAAATTGAGCTTAAAAGTTCACTATTTTTTTAATCTGATATTCTTTCTTCTGGTTAATATTCTAAACTCAAAGATATTTCTACATATTTGTTGTCCTTTTTAGGCCTTTCTTGTAAAAAATTGATGGCAATCCTAAAAGACTAGTTTGGTCAGGAAAATACTTAACACTTGAGTTGAAGTTGAACTTGAAGTTGAATTTGTTTGACGAGAAAAGAAATTGTCAAAGCGGTAGTTTAATCAGCATTTCTTACACATCGTCTGTTCAGGCCGGCCAGAGTAAAAACAATTAATTGTGCAGTTCCCTAGTTACACATCCTTTAGAACAAGCACAGTTTGCATCTATTCCCACAAGTAATCAGCTAATGGCATTGAGGGCGAGTTTTCTCTCGGACCATCTATGAAAAGAGGACATGGCGGGTGAGGGGGGGGGGGTACATGCATGTCTGCTTGTTTTGGTAAATCATTGTATGAGTATTAAGAGCAATGATAAGTTGAGCCCACTTGAACTGGACTGCAGTATGGAATGATAGTCAAGAAATAGGATTTATAATATGATTTTCTTTTTAATCAATTGAATTATAGGCACAACCTCACTTATAGTATGTATGCATTGCTTAAAACGACCTACATGTATGCCTAAAAAAATGAGTCTAAACGACTACATGTAGGTATTACAAAGATTTGGGAAATCTTGAAAATTGACTGGATAGTGATTCTTTACAATTTTGATTTATTTGAATGCCCCTGTGGATGTTTTATAAGCACTAGAAAATTTAAAAACATAAAACACTTCTACTTTGGAGAAAAATTGAATATCAAAATTTCAAATAGCGGCTACAGCAATACAATGGTAGCTGAGACCATGAAAATCTCAGAATATGTAGTTGTGATATATAATTTCCAAACTGGAATAGCCAATTAGTGAACTTTAGTCAAGAAACATTTTTTTGTAGCTAAATTAATATCTTTACCTTGAGAGGGAGCTATACAATATAAAGAGTTCATTATTTACAATTTCATCCCTTTAGACTTGATTTCAACCGCGACAACGATCACTGAATATTGTAGGGTCGCATGTGCTTCCAATATGTTGATTTGAACCAAATTCATGACCCCATACCAAAACTTTGTATTACCTTTAAGGAAGGCTATAAAGTTTTAATTAAACTTTCGGCATGTTTACACAGTAGACCCAGAGAGTGCCTGGAATAAGAGTCAGGCCTGGTTCTAGTGAATTGGTATTGCTTGTCATTTTATATGCTAGTTGCTCTTTTTGTTGACCCCTCATTATCATCATTTGTTTTGTGCAATTGCTTAATAAAATGTGTTTTTCTATTGATGATACTCTGTTGTTTATAAATTTACGGATGTTGCTTTAATTGACAATAAAAATTAAGACTGAACTGAAAAAACACTTATTAATTTATTCAATTTCATTTTTCCAAAGGTAAACCAGGCCTGTCAAATGGAGCAGGCAGTGATTAACCGAGAGGAGAAAAATAAAACGGGATGCATGTTGATGACTGACATCGCTCAGCATTCACAGAGCAGAGCTTAGAGTTCACAACAAACTTTAATAGGCCTGTTTTCATCAGCTCGAGATTGTCAAATATCCCTCTATTTCAGCCAAAAAAATACACGGGGGCGGAGGGCGGATTCGCCCCGGAAAGACCATAAACAGCCCCGAAATAGGCTCAAAATCCGATATCGGGGGCGACATCAAAAAGTGAAATGATCTAAAATCGCCCCCGTAACGATTACGAGCGGTCGCGCGCTCTCTTCTAGCTTCGTGTATTCATTGCGTGCATTTCTTGGTCCTCGCGCTGAATCTCCGTATAAAATTGTATACACAAAAATCGGTTGTAAAAAAACTCGAACCATATTCCATACCTTACCTGGCTTACCATGTCGCACGCAAGTACGCCAAAACACGTACATTTTCGCAGTTGCGAGATCGAGACGGAGCGTAGGGCTCGAGTTTTTGGCGGTCGATTTTGTTTTGGTAGAAGCTGAATCTAGACCATGAACCACTAAACATCGCTGAACTGCAATCAATTTCCATCACGAATTCACGATTGCTGCAATATTATAAATTTTCCATGAATAGAGGTATGAAATTAAAGCCTATTTTGTGATGTTCTCGCCATGTTTACGTAATTTTGATAATCATTTCTTCAAAGTAAAGAAAATCAGACAAAATCACCATGACTGACACGCATACAATACAGTGCATTGCCACTGTGTAGTGTGTGTGAGTTGAGCTGAGTTGCAGTTAACTCCAGGAAGCTCCAACACCGGCAGCGCAGGCGTCCGACGCCTGCGGCGCCGGTGTTGAAGTTTCCTGGAGTTACGCTGTAGTTATGCAGCAGTGTGTGAGTTGAATTGAGCTGAGCTCGAGTCAAAGAGATTTGACACTTTTCAATATAGTTTCGTGAATAGATTTACGAAACCTGAGCTTAGAATTCGTAAAAGTATTACTAATGTCTACGTTTTTAAAAGACTGTCTGATTTTCTTGGGAAAATTTTACTTTGAAAAATGATTATCGGAATTCATGGCCAGAAATAATCACAATCTAGGGTCTATTATGTTACAGTTCTTGCATCAAATCAATGCATGAAAACTTAGTTAGCTAGAAAAAGGGGTTTCTTTTTTAATAGGCAATTATGAAGCAGGAAGCCCGAAACATTAGCCTACTAAACAAATCTCAACAAACTGTAGGCTTATCCTTTGATGAATTAATGAAAAAGTAGCCCCAGAAAAAAGAGCCCCCAAAATGGAAAAAAGAGCCCCTGAAAGTTGAAAAAGTAGCCCCCGAAAATTTCCAAAAAATTTGAAATGGAGCCCCCGAAATGAAAAACTTAATTTTTTGCCTGCTCTATTTGGACTATCCCTATCGCAAATTATCTAGTTAATTTGCGTCTTCATCAGCCTGAAGTTGCAATTAGCCGGATATTTGGTCGAGATAATCATCCCAAGATATATTGGGCTAAATATCCCGCTATTTGGCAAAATATCCCACTATTTGTCCGGTAAGTCTTCACCAGCCCAAAGACTCGCACTATGCGCGAACGCCGAGCAAAATATCTCGAGCTCGAGTATCAAGTTTCAAGGTCAAATCTCGAGCTGATAAAGACACAATTTCAGGATTATTTCCCAAATCAGAAAAAGCGGACTATTTGTCAATCTTGAGCTGATGAAAACAGGCCTATTGAGATGTAATCCACTTAGCGCTTAATTGTGTTGGAGGGAGAAGCGCTTCGTCTGCCGAATTGGCCAGGGGGTGTGAACCAAATTCCAGAGGAAATCCAAATAGGATACTGAAATCTTGGAGGTCGTAACGCAGGTCATCGCCTGCGATGCTTGATCCTTATCAGGTTCAATGACTACTCATGGAAATATATGAGTTCTTTCATCGCACCACAGTGCATGGTTTTGAACTATGGGGGAAATGTGCGAGGGATTGA